CATTATTCCATGAGAGGTCAATAGTTTGTTTTTCCTCCTTTTTATACAGTAATCTGGTCCTCCTTCCACTGAACGAAGATATGCTTTACAGTCAGTTTAAGCAAAATAAAAGTAGTGCTAAAATCTTAACGTATCTGCAAAAATACAAACATGAAGAGTTTCTGAGCTTGAGTAAAGGAATAAAAGTACCAAAGATCTTGGAAATAGATGATTCCAAATCTTAGCTCTGCTATCTTGTATCTTTTTATTATGCCTTTTTGTACGCATAATTTTTACCAAGGATTTTTTCTGGGAATTTATACAATGAAATGCTTGAATTTTGGTAACATACACGTTCATCAGTTAACAATTTGAGCCTCTTGACTTAATCACTCCTGTATTTACTGGTAGCTTTATGCTTTATTTGGTATGGTGTAACTAATCGATACCATGAGAAAAAAATTACAACACTTTTGAAGAAGCAATGAAAATATTAAAGATGCATCGCTTTCCTGTGCTTGTCCGGTTCACAGATTGGCATAATCCATTTTAGAGATTTATGCCTGATTTTCATTGTGGAGTAGGAATAAAGCCATTAGAAGCAGTGTAGTTACACTCTGTTAGATCAAAATGAAAAAAAGTAAGGATCTCCAAGCATCATGACGCCGTTTTCCTTGCATTTGAGTTCCCCAAAGTACTTTGACCACAATGGAAAAGCTGCTGAATCTGCCCCGCCACATTGTTACCAAAGACTAGAAGCGTATTCTGTTAGGTGTTCACAAAAATGTTTTAAGCTAGCTGACTGACCTTCAGAATATATATGATTGCTTCATCTGAACTTTTATATGTAGCTATTCCAGCTTTGAGCTAAAATTTATAAAATTAGAAAGGAGTATGTGAAAACATGCCTAGGTACCATATCTGAGAAATAAAAATCATTCACAGTTTCCTTTATAACTTCATTCAGAGGAACTGAAGGCCTAATTTTGCCATTTCCTGTCTTCCTTATTTTCAAAATCAAATGCAGGATAAAATTACCCTTTTATTGGTAGTCTGTTAGGTAGCTATTGACAAACTATGCACAGTTTCTGCAGAAGATGACAAATGACTAAGGAAGAATCCAAACAGAAATTGTCAAAAACATACTACAATAAAATCAGCAAAAAAAAAGAAAAAAAAGTTCCATAAAATCTTGGATAATAAGGAAAGAGAGAGAATGGTTTTGGAATATACACTGATAACCTCTCTTCCAGAATCAGATATCTCTAGCAGGTCTTTTAAACTGAATTCTGCAAAACATGTTCTACTCTGAAGCCCTCGTTCCAGGAGACCCTCTCATGCTTTGGACAACAGTAAAGGGGAGGGAGAGGTCACTGAGAGGACAGGCGAAGAGGAGGACGTGTAGGAATATGCCAAAACATCTACATCCTGTGGAGTAGTGCTCCACACGGTGTAGTCCAAACACAGTGCTGAGGAGTCTTTCCAGTTTGTTCATGCCCACACAGCCCACTCCTCGAAACTCTCACACGGGAAAACAGAGCCATACAAGTTTTCAGCAGCTATCAGACAGGAAAGAGATTCAGCCTGTCAGCCCACATACAGTCTCCATTTCCAGGAGTCAATTCAAACTGGACCTTTATCTAGGACCTCAACATTTAGCTCTAATCTACTATGGCAAGGAAATGTTGTGTTAGAAACAGACCTTTAACCAAATCTCAAATTCTTACTTTGACCCAGAACTGACGCTTTGTTTCAATGGAGCTTAGTTGAATTTTGAGAACTGAGAATCTGGCATATTGTCCAAATCAAAATTCCATGTCTCAGCAACTAAATAAAATCTTATTTGTGAATGTGGAGGTCCAAAGGCAGCAATCTAAATATTTCTAAATTCTCAATCCATCTAAGTTTATATTATATTTAACACACTATAAACCATATCCAGCATGTTTTGCTCAGGACCAAGTAATAATTTATCAAAAGTTACTAAAAAATAGAAGAGAGTTCAGAAAAGATCAACAGATAGATATATTTGGGTTATTCCGGTACAGATTTAGAAGTAGAGATGAGAAGCACTAAAAAAGCAGCTTGCAAAATTACAGATATTTGCATATTATATAAAGACCAAAAATACAGAGAAACATACATGGTGCCCTGCTTTCAGTTTTACCTCTTCCCAATTCAAAAGGAAATATTTGGGACTGCTTAACAAAAGGCAACTGAGGATTCTGAAGCTTCTAATATTTGATTGCTGTGAATGTGGGATATTGGGTTTGAGGCAGCAGTAACAGCATCTGCCAAAGTAACTCCCTTCCCATTCGAGCTTGCGCACTACTACTTCAAAACTAATGTAAATCAGAATATAAGGGAATGCTAGGTAACGAACCTTTACTAACATTAGTTAATGTTGATGTGGGGGTACCTGCAGTCTATACACAGAACCATTAAACCTTGTGAGGCAATTACTCAGAAAATCACAGAACTAATGTTTACACAGCTTTAATTTACTGACATGATACAGCCTTTGGCAACATGGTCAAACAACGTTTTCCTCTCAGATTCTTCATTGTTTGGCACAGAGGATCAGCTGTGTTCAATCCTCTATCAGCTGGGTTTTACTATCTGCTGCAAGGTTCTTAGCTTTATTTACTTCATTCCTCTAACAGTCTAAAGCACATGTGTGGCAGATTCTGCTCTCTTTTACAAGCTGTAAGTAGCTCAAGTTTACCCAGTGAGCATAACTCTATGGAGAATTTTAGTAGCAACTGTCAAAAATGTCTCTACAATGCAAGTTGTAATTTTCCAAAAGCTTACATAGGATTACTTTTCTTTTTTTGATGGAGGAAATGCCACGCCTAACCCAACCCGACTTTGCTGGTAGATCCCTGCTTCTGGTCACTAAAGCTTTATAGACAACTGGTAACCAGACTTAATTTGGTTTAAAATAAATATCAACCAATTACAGCATTTTTCTCCACGCTCAGAAACAGGACTGATCCTTTTCCAACATCAACTGGTATGTGGCAGACATGCAGGATTCAGCAAGGGTGATGAAAAGCCTGGCAAACTTAAAACCAAATAAAAATGGTGTCTAAAAAAGGAGACCAGTAGAGCAAAGGTAACAGGCAAACAGTGCAACAAGAACAACTTCTTTGTACTTTAATAAGAGACTGTGATTTTCTATTCAATGACTCACAAAATTCCAGGCACAAGCGCTTATAGACATTGATAAACTGGTAGGCAAAGAAAGGAACTAGGTAATCTAGCAAAATGATCCTATCCAAAAATTCCACATACCTTTGAAAAGAAAAACAATATGTCAAAAATACAGAAATTGATTAAAATTAGTTTGTAAAGGACAATATTTCAGGTTTTAGGATACTTACTGGCATACACAGAAGACATCCAGACATTCTTGAAGCTTCTTATAATCACAAGTCTTCCAAGATTTAAAGAAACCTTGTTATCAGGAAGTAAAATAAAGTTGTGGGAAACTTACAGATGATTGCTATCTCAGATAACAAGGAAGAATAATATTAAAGTAATCTAATATTTTTGTTACTTCATAGTCCATTACATATATTGACTCAGCTGTATGTAAGGCCATTGTTATATCTGGTATGCAGGAAAAACCTTCCATTTTCATACAGTGTATAATTGACAGACCTACAGCAAAGCACCAAAGAAAAACAATTTTCAGATGACTTAGCAAGCAATTTACAAGTGTTTTCTTCTTGACTTAAATTAATCAGTAAAAGAGTGTATTAATTTTAAGGATTTATTTATACCATATATGAGATAAAGCTTCAGGATTTAAAGAGAGCTGTGATATATATCACTTTTAATCTGCCATAAAATTAAGTACAGAATGATGCAAAGAATTACAAATGCAAGAAGTCGTAGTTACTAGGGTACAGTAGATAGAGAGGATATATTGATTTTACTATCCCAGTTCCCTCTAGATACTTCTGTGCAGTTAATAGTAACATCAGCTTGAACACAACCTGAAGAAGAAATTTGAGAACCAACTTTTATAGGGATGTTTAGTAGTTCAATTCACAGAATCACAGAATGGTTGAGGTCGGAAGGGACCTCTGGAGATCATCTAGTCCAACACCCCTGCTCAGAGTCACCTAGAACATGCTGGCCAGGATTATGTCCAGATGGCTTCTGAATATCTCCAGGGAAGGAGATTCCACAATCTCTCTGAGATGGAACATGTGCCAGTGGTTCAGTTTGTGCCCGTTGCCTCTTGTCCTGTCGCTGGGCACCACGGAGAAGAGTCTGGCCCCATCCTCTTGACACCCTCCCTTCAGATACTTGCACACATTGATCAGATCCCCTCTCAGTCTTCTCTTCTCCAGGCTGAACAGGCCCAGCTCCCTCAGCTTTTCCTCGTAAGAGGAAAGGCTCCAGTCCCTTCATCATCTTTGTAGCCCTCCGCAGGACTCGCTTCAGCAGCTCCATGTCTCTCTTGTACTGGGGAGCCCAGCACTGGGCACAGTACTCCAGCTGAGGCCTCACCAGGGCTGAGTAGAGGGGCAGGATCACCTCCCTCCACCTGCTGGCCACACTCTGCCTAATGCAGCCCAGGATCCCATTGGCCTTCTTGGCCACAAGGGCACACTGCTGCCTCATGCTCAACTTGTTGTCCACCAGCACTCCCAGGTCCTTCTCGGCAGAGCTGCTTTCCAGCAGGTCAGCCCCCAGCCTGTCCTGCTGCATGGCAGTTTAGTATCATCAGCAAACTTGCTGAGGGTGCACTCTGTCCCTTCACCCAAGTCACTGATGAATATGTTGAACAGGACTGGACCCAATATAGACCCCTGGGGGACACCGCTAGTTGCAGGCCTCCAACTAGACTGCTCCACTGACTACAACCCTCTGAGCCCTGCCATTCAGCCAGTTCTCAGTCCACCTCACTGTCTACTTATCCAGCCTGCACTTCCTGAGCTTGCCTATGAGGATGCTATAGAGACAGTGTCAAAAGCCTTGCTGAAATTGTTAGGCAACATCCACTGCTCTTCTTCATCTACCCACCTGCATTTGAAATTTTTTTTGAGTTATTATATGGATATGATAAATTATAGAATATAGACATTAATTTGGGAGTTCAGTCCCTAATTCGCATTAAAATATGCTTCTCTTCCACCCACCCCAGAGTTTATTTGTGACCAAAGGCTAAAATTTAGAACACCACCTCCAGGAAAAGGAGACAATGTTTTCCTTCAAGCTTTGCATTGCTTAGGTGTTCCTTCATATGTCCTAATAACATATGCTACTGCTTCTAGGTTTTTTAAAAATAGGTTAGAATTTCCTTCTTCAGTGTGTGTTCTGTCTCACACACATAGCTATGACATATTATAAAAGGTAGGCACGCAGAAGTATATCTGTACTTGAAATATAAAAGAGCAGGTGGATCATGGTCCATAATTCTTGGGCAAATTCTTTCCTTACCTTGAGAATGGATTTGCTCCTGGAAAGTCTGTCTCTCCCAAATATAGTTCTACTCATATAATGTAGTGTTCTGATGTCTAATAGCCAGTGATGTTAGACATATTTCAGAAAATGTACAGAAAGAAGCCTTGTTATTTTTAAAGAAGCAAAAACACTCCATTTATCATACTCCAGCTTCTATAAAATGAAACATTTTTCCATGCAAATAGTGAAATTCCCTTCTGTTGACTTGGCAAAAGAAGGACACTTAAAGCAGATTTTGTATTTCTGCCACATCAGGAAAAACACCTGCTGAAAATTTTCAAGAGTTGCCCAGGAAATAATTCCCTAAAATAATTCAGTGTATAAGTGACATGTAAGTTTTATGATAATTCAAGTCAGGGTAATCTTGTATAGTTTTCTTTTTCATGCAAAGTTACAATCACCCCGGTATGTCAATGCACTGCAAAGGAAACTAAACCTGCCCACTCGGTGATCACAGTTGCCAGATAGAGATAAATCTTCTGGGAAATTAAACATTATCTTTCCTCCCTTTTGTTATCTGAAATAGGAAAATGAAAGCAAGAAAGCTTTAGGAGTGAAATATTTAGAGGAACTTCTCCTTAGCACCTCAAGAGACAATAAAACCCTGCAAACAATTCACACAAGCAAGAAGACTGCTGCCAACGTTGCTAAAAATCTTTGAGATGTTTTCAGCAAAAGTGGTTTGCTTGAGCTCTGTATGTTAAGTAATTTGAATATATTGGATCACTGCCCAGAATACTGTAACACCAGGCTCATACAGGACAGCATTTATTTAGCTGTCAAAAGTTGACCATTTTAAACTAACACGAATGTTTTTCAGTGTGTAGCTTCTCACATCGTTTTCTATGTTTTTCTCTATCATAGGATTTCATGGTTGTATTTCAGTTTTCTGATTGCCAAATAAAATTGTGCACTATCTCAGAGCAGCCAACTTCTCCTGGGTTTTTTGTGGACAAATCAATTGAAATGCCTGAAGTTCTTATAAAGTAGCTTAAAATGACTCTCTTCAACTCGTCTCACTCCCTCTAAGTGCCCCATTGCTTTCTTGCAGCAAATTTTCTTTGTGGAAGAAGATAAAAATGCTTCTTTGGGGGAAGATCTTGTTTCTTTTGTCCTGATGGAAGGGGATTTAACAAGAGCAAGGACCTATGCCATGATTTTTGAAGATTTTTTTGTTGTTATGTATGTGGGTTGGGGGTGGTTGGTCTTTAAGAAATGTTAGATTTTTGGTTGGAAAAGAAGAGTAAGCGAGGAACAGTGTGTTACATTTTCAGGTTTTTGGATTCCTTGACCTTCTGGACTGGAGGCCTCTTATTTAAAGCTAGGGAGTGCCACCGTGTGGCTAAAGGCTTAAAATTAGCAGTGGCCCTGGAAAAAATAAAGTTAAGAATGAATGGATTAGGCCCTCTATACCTCCCTCTAAAAGCAGCATGAAGCCAGTTCCGAGGAGGCAAAAGTTGCAAAAATGGGGACATGAGAAGACAGAGCTCTTAGTCTAAGAAAAAGATGAACGGACATCAAATAACCAGGAATTCTATGTGCCGCTTTCCATGCCAGAGACCATATCTTATGCAAAGGTGTTTAATGCAAGTCATTCAAAAGGCAGGGGCTGGTGCCCAGCACGCCTTTACTCCCTAAGGTAAATTCCTTAACCATGAGGGAAAAGGGTCATGCTGCCTTTCACACACATCCAGATAGCACGTAAAATATGGCATGCCTTTCTACCTAAGCAGGGGGAGACAGAGAGGAGGACAGGCCCCTTGATTACTGGTTAGGATACTCTGTATTTTCCTCTCCAGAGATACAAGCTTCTACAGACTGAGAAAAGCATTGGGGTGGAGGAGATTACCCTTTTCAAGTAATTAAATATTACATACAATGACAGCAACACTGCCATCTCCTTCTCTCTAATCCTATTTTAAAAATGAAGGGGTGACATTTGACAACTTATGTCATTCATGGATGAGAAAACGCCACAAGCGTCTGGGTACACATCTGATGGGGCTGTACGTACATGGCTGCTCACCTGCACCAGTTGATGGCCTTCCTGGAAGCAGAAATTTGGTACAAAGGATTTTTTTTTATTTTTTTTTAAAAAAAACATCAAGCAGCAATACCTACAGCATGTCAACAGCTGCAGGGCCCTTAACAGCTCAGCAGGCCTTTTTTGACTCATTAACAGTCTCAAACTTTTGCTGCTAACTAGCTATATAATTAGTTCTGTATTTAAGACCTCTGAATCTACAGCTGGTTCCTGTGGGTTTTTTTTCCATTTATCATGCAAACATCCTACTTGTCACTGTCTTTTCCAACATACAAGGCCTGCAGTTATACGCTTTTTGTTCTCTAGCTAGGAGACGTCCAGACTCCATGCTGTTCTGACTTTTTGCTTCATTAAACTAGAAAAATGTTTTGCCAATTACCTAGTTAAAATTCTTCACCTAACAGCTATGGGAAAAACTTGCAGGGAGTATATGGATGGAAGTCTGATAATTTGAGACACTCTATATAGACTTGCACCAGGGCGTAGCCCAGGTAAGATTCATCTCACCCACGTGTAAAATTTTACATTTTAGACCTTTTGAGTTGACCATCCTGTGATGCTGAAGGGAGTATGGCCATCTGACAGGTAAGATGCAGCCTGCTATTCCTGATCAAATGCAACAGAACTTGACAGTAAAGCCTCTAAGAGCATGGTTGTGACAGACGAGCTATATGGCTCATTTTAGACGCATTTGAACTCCACAGGACAGATCCTTTGACCAGCAAAGCAGACATCTTGTTAAAGTACTAAAATCCTTCAGGCCAGATTCAGTCCCTCACAGAATTTGTAAACTTCAGCTTTGCTACACAAGTGCATTGGACACATGATCACAGAATCATAAAATTATGTTGTTAGTCCTGAAGAAAAAGAGATTGTTAAAAGTCCAAGGGATTTTGAAGCAGTTTTTGAAACCTAAATGCCATCTCACATTTAACAGAAATGTAGTGCTTGGAAATTCCATACCTGTGACTCACTTTAACCACTTTCTGAAAGCAGAAACAGAGCTTTGTCATCAGAGCAAGCAGAGAGAATTCAGGTACTGCCTTTTCAAAAGTCAGCTAAATTTTTTATGCTGCTCAACAGGCTTGAAGGAAGTGCACAAGAAATTCAGTGTGCTGTATGCTGCACAAGCACAATTTAACATTAAATGGTGAATTAATATGAATGGCTGGATTGCTATGAAAGCAAGATTTCTGAGGAATCAGGGCAAGCAGATGAAGCAGCAATGCAAGAAAGAAAATAGTTCTTATCAGTAGAATTGAATTTCAGATAGGAAGCGCAGCTTCCCTTCCTGAAATACAAAGAGACTACATGTGATTACGGCAATCAGACCAGAGGGAGGTAAGTTTATCTATTCTTAAAGCCAACTGAAATGAAAAACAGTCTGCCAAACACTGAAAAAAATTAATAAACAGAGCAGCATCCAACATTTTCCCAGCTCTGAAGAGATCATTTAAGACTTCTGTTAAACTTTCAGATGAAGACAAAGAAAAGGACATGGGACAACTTTCCATGGTTAGTGGGATCCCATAATGAGTGGGACAATAGGACACCAGTCTGAATCTTGAGTCTTCCAGGTAAGTTCCCAAGATACCTGAACAGTAAAAATTTCAACTTTAATGCTTAGTTCAAATCCGATTGTGACTGAAAAAATTGCGCAAGGATTTGCTCTGAGCAGTAGATGTATTTCTGCAATCGGAACATTAGAGATCTGATTCCCTATCCATCAAAAAGCTTTTTTTAGTTGTTAAGCAAAGAGCTGAGATAAATTTAATGAGTGAAACATTTACAAGCAAGGGACTATCATATTTACTCTTTAGCCATCTAATCAGATAAAGCCTCAGAATGAAACTGAGGATACAAACACCTAAATATGCTATACAGTGTCTGAAGAGAAAACCAAAAAAACATGCGAGGAGCCTTCTAAAAATAGTAAATAGGAAGTATTAAGCCTAAAGGTATAGGACTGAAGTCCCAACTCCACTTTCAGGTGCCCTGAGCCAAAGGCAGCATTGCAGAGAGGTCGTCTGTCTACCCAGAAGTCAAATCTCTCGAAGGTACTTAATAGGTCACACAATTATTATCACAACAGTGGCAGCTGTCTGTTCTATAGAATAATGGTTACAGCAGTCACTAAGGAAGAAGATGCAGGCCTAGCTGTGCCCTTCTAAGCCTAAAAGCACGAATTCATACTCTCACCTCTCTGGAGAGTATCTGAAGTAGCAGTTTATCATCCAGGTTACATATAAGTACTCTGTTCCTTCAGTGGAAGGACCCAAAAAAATAAAGAAGTCACAAGGACAGAAAGACACAAAAGTCAGAGGCCCAAATACATAGATGAAAAGAAGATTTTAGGAAGAGAAAGATTCTTAGGCAGACAGTAAAAGCAATGAGACTATGTGGACCAGAAAAAAAAAGAAAAAGTTTGCACCTCTTTCCCCAGTTTAGATAATATAAGCAAACAGAATATATAGCCAACAACTCTTTGATTGTTCTTGAGCCTTTGCGTGCATCTTCCAGACGAAAAAACCCACTTCCATACTTCCATCCCATGTAAAGGCCTTTAAAAATACAATAAACGCTTTATGAAGTTGTTACAGAGAATGCTAAGGCATTACTTCAAAATTTGTCTGAATGTTTAATTGCAAATTTATCAGGCTTTTTTCCGTCATACACATGCCTTCTCAAAATATACAGCATGGTCTACTATATCATTTCTACCATGGCTTTGCTATGAAAAATCTTTAAGGCACAGAGATTTAGAGCTATCAAAAGTAACAACACAGAATTTTTGTGATTGAAGTGAATAAATACATTTTTCTGGACATTATATAATTATAAGTAAGGCTGAAGTAGGTATTATAATGAGTCATTGCAAACAATACTGACAGTTATGAAAATTGTCAATTAACAAAATTGTCTTTGAAAAGAGGAAAAGTGCCTTCACATTATCACTGCAATCCACAAGACTACAATTTACATTTTAGAGTTCTCATTTCTGAAAAGAATTAGTTGTCACAACATGCACATGATAAGCATTTTCACGAATACAAAGGTAACACTTAATTAGAGCTCAAGAGTTCTGCAGTAGGTGAGTTTGAGGGGAAATGAGGGGTGATGCCTGGGGAAGTGGATCAAACCTGTTACCAAATACCCTAACATGCTTGTGCAAATATTTCTACAGCACTGAGTAAATACAATAGAGATAGGTCATGCAAAGAAAGCCACAGCTTTCCATGGAGCATTATTTCTCTGCAATGCTCTATTAAATATATTTCACTGCAGATATGCATTGATCATTTCCCAATATCCAGCTATGCAGAAACAGTTAGCAAAGAGACATTTAAAACATTAAAAAGTGATGCTCACGAACTCATATAACATCGATCAGGAGCTAGGTTTATTCTCCTCACATTCAGCTCAGTTGCAAAGGTCCTTGCCTTCTGATAGAAGAAGAGAGACATTTCCCGATCCACAAGGAAATTATGGTAGATTACTGCAAGTCTTGTGTAAATCTTCAGTTGCGCTTTTTTATTGCCTAAGTCCATGGCAGCAGCCAGTGCCAAATGGTAATAGCCCGCGGCATCAAAAGGGTCCTGAAATAAGTGACACAAAGATAGTACCCTCCATAGCACAACTGCTGTAAGAGGACATCCAAGATCAGTTTATTACATATCCAACCAGAAGGATACAGATTCTGAACCCAAGTTTTTATTACATTCTAAATGCATAAAAACAAAACTAGGTTAAAACTTAATGTTATGAAACATTTCAATAAAATGATTTTCCCCAGTAGTTCTTTTAGTATTTCTTACCTTTAGGTCATAGAATATGATGTCTCCTAAGATCAAGTACACCTTCACATAATACAGTGTTTCCTCCTCAAATTGCAAAGGAGAGGAACAGAGGGACAAGGCTTTCAAGTAGAAGTGTTCTGCAAGTTCACAGTGACCCAGGTGTTGATGGATGGCACCCAGTCGATGGTAAGCTACTCGTTCATTTAGCTGATTTCCTAATGAGAGAATGCATAAATCAGGATAAAGGCAAAGAGACAGTAAGAAGTCAGATTTTCTGAAACCAGCATTGGCAATTTTTTTATTTCTATATGGGTTTTTTTGATCATTTAGTGATTAAATCTAAATTTCACCAAGAGATACATGGCCAAAACCTACTGCCTTTTATTTCTCAAGAAAATTATATGGAACTGCTGAATTTCTCAACTGTAGCATTTGATTGTCTCTGCGATAATTGCTTTCATACCTCCCATATACAGCTATATATGCCCTGCACATACAAGGAATATGAATAGATTACTTTGAAAGTATAGTAGATAATGGGATTTAAGACTTGTTCCAATACAAACTTTCTATCAAAAAAAAAATCATACGACAAATCAGACTGATCAGAATGACCTGTCTACACATGGGTGGAGGGGGGAGAGAGTTCTTAACCCGTTTGTAGCTCTCAACAACTCAAGAAAACAGTGACTTTGGAAACTAGCCCTACTATTTTTACCTACTTTTTATAGCTCTATTCACCAGTAAGCCTATGAACAAATCTAAAAGCAGCACATTAGCCTCAAAAGCCTCTTGGAAAAATATTATTCATCAATACTACAGCTTAGCTGTAGAAAGCAGACTGATTAATGCATTCTGTTTAGACTTGATAGAGCAGAGAACTAAACCTGAGTCTCCAAAGCTTTGGTTTTCCATATGAGCTTAGAGTTAGAATAGGCAGCAATAAAGCTGTTCATTTTTGAACAGAGGCAAAAAAAGTAAGGATGATGATATTGATATAAAAACCTGGCAAGAAATCTGACTGAATTCAAAGGAAGAAAATATTTTCCTTTTTGAATTCTGCCTTGTATGGAGATACCAGTCATATCCAGCTGTAATTGAAACTGGTCTTACCTAAATTCACACTGAGTATAAGGGATAGTCTTGCATACTCCAGACCTTCCTCATAAGCCTTCAGATTCACCAGCAATTCCGCCAGCTTGTTGCATAATCGGAGTTCAGCATTTTTGTTACCCGTCTCAACAGCAAGTGGAAGAGCCCTGTCCTGAAATGTACAAGGAAAGCTTGGACACCTCTGAATCCCAAGATGTGCACTGGCAGACTTCCATTTTTATGATGTAAAGCAACTTCTGGCTCTATTTTTCTCTTTGCATATAACAGATCTTTCAGCCAGGCGATGGGTTGAAACAGGCCCGATCTGTTAACACTGTGACACAAATTACTCAGCTACAATAGGTTATAAATTGTTTGCAAGAGGATCATCTTTTGGTTCAACACTGTAGAAGAGCTAGTAAAATGGGCCCACCAATCAATGCAATAGAAAAACAGAACACAAACCCTATAGAAAGTCACAGCTTTCTCCTTTTCCCAAGTACCATTGAAAAATATGTCTCCAGCAGCTTCAAACAATTCCATTCCTAAATTTGGATCTCCTGTGTAAAGGGCAGCATCCTGAGCAACCTGAAAAGAAAACAGGGCAAGGGAAAGAAAACCTTGGTTACTTCTGGGTAAAGAATCAGAAACACTGGCAATTTGGAAAAAAAAAAGAAATCTTATTAAACCCTCTCTTCTCATTATAACACAGAAGAGGCTATATTTGATTAAACCACAGCTGTCTTAATCAGTAGCCTCTTTTTGAGCAGCCAGTGGCAGATAATTAAGGAGGAGCATAAAAACCAGGGCACATACAGAGTTACGATATCCCAGTTTCAGGCAATAGTCTCCCACCACCTTTGTCAGCACATAGCACTCTTCAAAAACAATGGAGTATTTGATAGCTGCAACATTAAATTTGAATGAGAAAAAAAAAAGAGTGATATCTACACCTTTGATATACCCAACAGTGCAGATTTAAAAGCCTGTGAACTGAATTCTGCCAGTGAACTGAATTCTGCCAGTGAACTGAATTCTGCCAGTGAACTGAATTCTGCCAGTGAACTGAATTCTGCCAGTGAACTGAATTCTGCCAGTGAATGTATCTCTGGCTCCTCTGTATTGCTTTTCTGAAATATTTTAATGCTATGTTAGCAGAAAGGTCTTCATGAAAGGAAGCATGCATCCTCCAAAGTAAATGAATGATAGCAGGATGGTCAGTTATTGAGAGAATAAGTAGTAATGGGAAAGCAGACTTGCACATGAGGCAAGATATCCCTGCTGTCTCAGAATGTTTAATTCAATAGATGAATTTTGCTTTGGTTTTGTCATCTCTAGTTTTCAAATCGCATTCAATTAATACAAGTCTCACTGTCTACTTAGGCTCAAAGGCTTTGATCCTTTTCAGACATCAGTCACCTACGGATTCTGCTGTGTCGTGTTTTCAGAAGTTGTGCTTTACACACAAGTCAAATTGCGATGATTTGCACAAATTACTGGCAGAGTAGTCAACCTGTTAGTGGGCAGATTTCTATTTTAAGACTTTTCTCATGCAGAGGCACTGACTCTATGCTCTAAATACCAACATCCACATACACGCAGTGTGGAACGCACGCACATCCCTGGCCTGCTTCTCCTCTTGAAAACATAGCAGATATAAAATCATCCCTGAGGCTGATTTGGCACGTGCAACACCAGTGGGATCACTGCCTTGGCTATCAGCTAGAGTCTTTAGTAGAAGAGGAAAAAGAAATAGCAGGTTATGGTACAGTCCCTTCCCATAAAGGCATTTGATCAGTCTTCCTGACGTGTATTCAAAGATCTAACTTAATTCGGAGAAATATTCATTAAAAGTAGCCCCACAACGTCTCTCAATACATTTTAAGCATGAACTTATTCCCTAGGTTTTCATGGTTCTTTATATGAGTTTTTCAAATATCTTAACAATGGAAGTTGGATAATTTTATTTAGAAATCATATTTTGGTATCACTCATACACCAAGTCTCAGATCTTACTATGTCTTGTTCGGTATACATCCTATAATACAAGACTGCACTACTCCCAAACACCTTACCACAGGAAAGTAGTATCTTTTTTATCCCCTTTACAAAACCAAGAAACTAATTCCCAAACACTTAAATAATTGGCCAAACAACCATATAGACAATTGAGACAATCAGAACTGGGCAGCAGTTCAGCTCCAGGGAAGACTCAAGAGTTTCAGGTCACCTTTCAGCCTGTTAACAGAGCAGTGGCAGCAGCAGATCCTGGCTGGTTGTGTGGGGGTCAGAGCCGTGCCTCCAGTCTCACTGTTGCAAAGGCAGCAGCACCCTCCAACAGGCTCCATGCCATGCTGTGCCCAGCCACAGAAGAAAAGCTGTAGATGCTTGGGAAACACTTCTTAAAAGCGTTCTTAAAAACAGTCATTCTCTGTTTCCCGAGGATCTGGCCCACAAGCCAGCATGCTAAGATGATCATTATCCATTATCCACTAGCACGTAGTATGCGTACATGATCTGATTTCTGTAGTACTGTAGAGCTAATAGTGATGCAATAAGATGAAGGAATAGGATGCTTAGAATTGACAGAGCAGGCACTCAGTAAGGTCACTCCTCCAAATTATCCTTTCAGAGTCAAGTAACATCATTAAAAATGCAGCATAGCAGGAAAATGCTTAGACTGTCAGCTGTTAACTGTCGCATAAATGACATCACTGTATGTTCAGGACATCAAATGGCAAAATCTCTGGGATCATTACATTACTTATTCTTTCACTGTGCCACCTGCACCATGACTTTAAGTGTGGACAACATACCTGAATATAAAGATCCACAAGTTCATTTTGTCTAAGAATGTAATAGATCTTTCCTGCCCGTAGCCAAGCATATGCCTCTTTCTCTTTTTTCTGAAGATCTATAAATATTCCAAGGCTTCTTTTGGTATATTCCAGAGCTGATCTGTAAGCCCTGAAACAGGGAAAAACTGCTAATCACAAAGTGACCCTTCAGAATTGGGAATGTTTATAATGAGAGAAAAAGCTTTATGTTAACATAAATGACAATCTCAGTTTCTTCTATTCATTGAAGAATTATAACTTCTCAGATATATTCCATTAGAAACTAAAAACTCAGTCTTTTTCCTCTTCTTTTGTTCAATATGTTTTCTGTTAGATTATCATGATACATTTTAGAATAGATCATTTTAGATGTGTCCTTCCCCTACCTCAGGCTAAGGACAGATGGAAAAATGTTTCATCTTTAGCTCTTATCATTTATGGCATTTTCCTACACGTTTCATAGAAAGGAACTGTATCTGTAAATAAATTGTTTCTAAATATCACCTAGGCCTCTGACTTGAGTCGAATTCAGACTAGTCAACACTTGTATAAAATCTTGGGAGCAAAAAACACCAGTTCTAGAAGAACCTAAATTATCAGATTAGGCAGCACAGTTGCCACTGAGGAAGTGTTAGGGCGCTGTGCTCTCAGAAGAATGGCCATACTTCTCATAGGAAAAGCCTGTCAGATTGGTTGAGCTTATGATGCTTTATACTAGACATAGAAGCTCCTGACTTCTTTATTAAATCCTTCTCAATCTGTCACGTCATAGAGTCCCATCACATGAAGAACTGCACAGTTACAGTGAATCCTTAAATAGTGTATCTTCAGAACAACCTATTCAGACCTCCAGAAAGATGCCAAACATATCAAAATGTAACATGCACCCTGGTATTTCACTTTATCAGGATTTCTGTTGTGTCTTGGCAAGATCTCATCCCTAAGGGGGAAAAATGGTTTTACCACTTTGATTCTTACAGAAACTGAAAAGACCTGTCACTTTTTATTTTCATAACAGGAAATAAAGATCCACTGGGTATTTCACAGTCTTTTCTTCTTTAGTAGTAAGCTACTGTCGCAATATGAGGATACAGCAAAGCAGGTAAAATAGTCCAGCTCAGCCCACTTAATGAATACCACTTTCATCTTCCTTCAGAGTTTTTGCTTTTGCAGCAGGCAAGTACATGCCAACCCGTAGCCCAGCACGTTAGCTGAGACAGGCCAGGCTGCAACCCCTGGTGACACAGAGCAAATAAGGTGACACAGAGCATACAATGGTTTCATTACTACAGGCACACAGATACCCTTGTTACTCAGGGCCGCTAACTCGGAATACTGTGATATTACAGTCTACTATAATATGGAGTCACATTACTCAGTCTGCTGAAGTTACACAGCCAACATTTGGTAAATTCCAAGGATTACATGCGCACAAAGAATCAGATCATCCAGCTAGTTAAATCCTTCTATAAATTCCAACTAGTTTGAATCTTGACTCCTTTTTCTTCAGCCCATCCAAAGAGTTTTCACCAACTCTATCAAACAGCAGCTAGCAAAGTGGAATAAATTAGATGACAGATTAGAAATCAGACACATGGACTTTAGCCACTTAAAGCTCTACACTCTCTCCAAAACCAAGGTTAATTTTTCTTTCTTTCTTGAGGCTTACTTGAGAATCTCAAGTAGACAGACTCCCTAAAGATATAATGAAAAAGATTCAGACAAAGCAAACAAAAATAAAAAAAGCTTAAAAAAAGGAATCTTTGAAAAAATTGTTTAGAAAAACCTTCAGTTTTCCCAGCACCTGTTAAATGACTATAAATTGATTTGTGCAGTCTTTTTTCCTTAAACAGAAGCAAAAAATGGGCATTCTGAAAATAAAAGCAGAATAAAAATTGCCAGAGACTGACACTATGCAGTTTTACACCTAGGTTTTGCATTTATGGACATTCTGACAAAGAACATCCTCAAAATGAAGCGCATGGACAGTTTGACGCCTGATCTATTGGAATACTCCATTTACTTTCTGATGGAAAAATTGTCACATGAAAGCTACCATCACAAGTCATCCACCAGCAAAAATTAAATAAAAAATCTCCAACTCCAATAAAGCGTATCAGCAGAGTGTGAAAAATTGAGTTATATTCAACAGCTGCAAAAATTCCTAGAGATGCTCTAGCATGACAGAAACATTATGATCAAAATAAAATCAAAGTCTTTGAGCATATCTCACCTTTCTGTTCCTAGAGACAGATAGAGCTGACTAATGGTTTCCAAAATTTGTCCCTCCAAATCTTTGTTGGACATCTTTCTAGCTAAAGATAGCTGATATTCATTGTAGATGACACACTGAGCCTCATTGGGAATAACTGTACTGTAGAATTGACACAGCAGCTTAATAGCTTGAAGCTGACCTAGGAAAACAGATTTGAAATACTAACATGAATCTCTTAAAAAGAAAAGTTAAAATAGTTTTAAAATAATTCATTCTACTGTTTCACAAATTCAGAACACTCAATCATGATATATAATCAGATCTAAAAATAATGATAAGCAGATCCACTACCAGTTTTTTCAATATGAAAAAAATTAACAAAGGCTACTCCAAAGGTCCAAAATAAAATGTGGTTAAAAAGTCACTCTACCTGTATAAACTGCCTGAATCATGCTAGGGAAAAAAAAAAAAAAAAAGGTTCTTCTAAATACAACCATTTTACCAAGAGTAATCTGGATTACCTTTGTTTTCATGCATTTAAACGTGTGGCTGGTGCTTTTGTACTAGCAGTAGTATCGTAACTATTATAAGCAATATTGAATGTACAAATCTCTATGCTTTTTACAAATCATTAAGCTACATTTTAATTTTCCCCAACGCTCCATTTACTCCATCACTTTATACAAACCTAAAAAGCACCGGAAGACCAAAAAATATTTATTTCTCCGTTATTGTGGGATAGAGCAAAGATTTCAATCCCTTTAGTAGCTGTCACATACATGAACACAAAATATTGTTTAAGTAACAATGATAATATACGCATACCACAAACATTCCCAAACAGGGTACACTTTATAACTTAGAGAGAGAAAATATGCACTTACTTTCCAGGTGACTTGTCTCCATTGCAACTAAAAATGCCCATTCATAATAAAACCTTCCTTTTTCTCTCTGAGTTCCACTAACATAGTAACATCCCAGCTGAAGGAGGACTTGAATAAAATCTTGGCCACAATCCGGACTTGGAAGTTTGGAGAACAGCTTCACTGCCTTGATAAAATAGTGTTCTGCCAGTTTACTGGCTGCTGCATGCAGGCAAAGCGCCCCGAAATTAGCCAGGGCTATAGCTTGGTTGTGAGTCCTATCAGTCTCTTCTGAAAGACGCAGTGCTTTGTAGCAGTTCTCCACAGCTTCTCTTGTATTGTTTGTTCTTTTTAAAGCAATGGCAAGCATATTATAAACAACACCTAGCTGCTGAGGATTACTCCATGAAGAATCTACAACAACATTTAAAATAGCTAACGCCACACTATATTGCCTGTGAAGAACGTATAACCAAGCAAGTGAAACCAAATGGTTAATAGTTTCCTCTGGCTTAGCAGAAATATCAGAGTCCAGTGCTTTCATCATGTAAACAATGGCTTCTCCATACCATTTGTGGTGGCTGTACAGTTCTGCTAAGCTAAGATAGAGCAAGCTGCGTAGTCCTTGCTGTTCAGTAGTAAACACAGAGGAAAGCGCTTGTGTGAGGTAAGGTGCAATTTGGGATGGGAGTGTTTGCCTGAGTTTTCTAAGGCTGTAGAGCTTGGGAGCATTTTTGATGACTAAATCAAGTCTCTTCAAGGAATCCATTAAGGTACTTGAGCTCTGGGAAGAGGCAACCTTTATGCAACTTAACACAATGTGTGGTAAGCACTTCTCATTGTAGGACTCTGCTAGCTCGAAATAGCAGTTTTTTGTCAAGTTGTTTTGTAAACTCAAGTCATTAAGCAATAGCTGCAGCCTTTCTAAGAATGGTAGCACCTCTTCATACTGTTTGCGTTCAGTATAATGTTTTGCCAGTAGAAAGCATGCCCTTGCCTCTGCATGCTTGCTCTGGCTCAGTATTGCCCTCTTTAGAGCATGCTTTAGAATATCTGACTCCAGGTCAGCACTGCAAATGTAGTTGGGGATTCCCATGAGAAGGGATGTGGCCTTGTCAAAAATGTGCGCACATTTTTCTTTGTTCTTTTGTGTCAGGTAGATGACTGTTAGGTTTGTATAAAGAGCAATTATGAGATACAGATCACTAAACCCTCCGGTTATGGCTCCCAAAGCTTCCTCAAAATAAACCCGAGCTTGGGAAAACTTAAGCTTTTTAACACTCAGCCTACCTAATAGAAAGCATAGCCTTGCTAGAGCCCAGGACATACTTGCTTTCTTTGCTGCTTCCCTTGCTAATCTAAAAAAGCTAACCAGTTCTTCTTCCTCTGAATAACCATAAAACATGTTATTCATAAAGGGATAAGAGAAATCGTAGAGGTTTTTGAAGTTTCTGTCATACTCTTTTCTGTTTAAGAACAGGAGCAGTGATTGAAAGACTTCAGATGCTTGAACATCATCTTGATGTATGTGGAAGCAAAGTCTTTGAGGCTGAGGAAAGACTTTGCTATTTAAAGAGCTAGCAGAATCCTTTCCTTCAGGAGTTGGCCCTCCAGCCTGTGTAGCCTCCAAATCCTTGAAGCGCTCCAGGAATTCTTCGATCTTGCCATTCTTGCTAGTGGACACCATGTTAGAACACGGGCATGGAATTTCTGCAGTTCAAAAAATAAGTGACAGATCACAAATTTCATGCGTGTATTCTTGCACATATCTCTGATAAACTAACAAAAGCATTTGTCAATAGAAAATACCATTAGAAAAAAAAGTATGTTTAGGAGAGAGACCAAAGGTGGGAAAGAGAGATCAAGGCAGATTGGGGAGGAACAAATGTGGGAAAACAGGAGTGAGGATAACAGGGGCTTGTCCCACATAAACAGGCTGCTGATCAGTACACTTATCTGGTCAAGCCCTGCACCTCATCACTAATCTAGTCCATCTTAAACTCTATTGCATCGTACTTTGTGAGAGTGCATAGTCTCTGTTCTGTCTGTATACTAGAGAAATCTGCCAATGATTTACAATTCACACTAGCTGGTGAGTAGGATACCAGGATCTGAACTGGAGGCAGAATAAGTGGCCGAAGGTCTGGGCATGGATACTGGATGGCCTTAACTTTCAAAGGAACCATGAATGTAAGCATGCAAGTTAAGCAAGTAAGGGTATGCTTATGTTCTGCTGGAAAACTAGGCTAGGTTAGCCAGACAGAAGGAATAGGATTGGGACATTCCTACTGTTAAAGTCCCATGTGGGCTCTATTTGTGTTTATGAGGGTGCCCATAAAGGCACTGGTGTCCACACACTGGCTATGTGCGGCAGGTCACACCTGTGTGATGTGTGCATGCACAGGTGCATGCATACATGCACCTGCTGGGGTTTTGTGCTCAAGCTCACTTCTGCCTGGGCTTGGAAGTGGGGAACAACAGCAGCTCCACATCTAATGGGCCAGGAAGGGAGGTTTCCTGTGTCCCACAGTCCACTAGGTTCAGCTACCCTTAGCAGCATACAAGGAATTTTTCCACACAAAACCCCATCACCAACAAAAAAGAGCTGGAATTATTTCATAAGAGCCCAAGAACGGCCAGAGTAAGACCTATTTGGCCCTGTATCCTGCATCACCATCCACTGCTGAAAGCAGAAGGCATCCTTCTGTACTTTCAGAGGGAAATGGTAGGACTACAGAAGCCATCATTGCCATCATGACTTCTGTGTCACCAGCTCACCAGCACTAGGATATCGTCTTTCAAATTCCAACCCCAGTTCTCTGCTGGTGCAAATTAACATTCTCAGAACTACCAAGTTTGTGGTCATTGGTGAACTTCTCTCTCTAAAGTCTCTTAGTATTTCCATCACTGAATATCTTACAGAAAAAAAACATCCAATCATTTCTTTAGTCTTCCCACTCGCATTCAGCCCAGGTAGTGGAGCCAGGGACTAGGGATGCAGGTTGAGACTACAGTCAATGAGGCTTACAGCTGAATATCAACAGGAATTTATTGAAATTGAAGATTTAGAGAGCTCAGTTTCCTTAGAACCCCATTTCTGTAACTGTTCAACAAAGCCATAAGCATAAAAAGTAGTACAACAGAAATAATGACAGTAACAGGAGGGCAACTAAATGGCAATGGGAAACAATTCTTCATACTCAAAAATATTTCCTTGGGGCAATTCTATTCATGGGTTTCTTTTTTTTTTTTTTTTTGAAAGGAAACTGAAGATATGCTGGAATTCAAGCTCAGCATTTGCCAGGTGTCCCATATACAATATTTTGCCTTTTTAAACAACGGGCGGTGGGGGGAAGAAGGGAACTCATGGCAGTAAAAATAAACGATATAGTTTGCAACTGAATGGCAAGGTCTGAGAAACGTATCTGAAGTTAGAATGTGAAAAGACATTAAAAATGGAGACAAAAAGCTGGGAAAGATACCAAGAAGATCAAAAATCACATTAATTTTACATAAGATTTGTATGCACATTAAATATTACCACATTCACGAGTATTCTGACAGTCTAGTTCTTCTAGCTGATCTGCAAGAAAGAAAAGAGCCATGCTAAGTATAACATTCAAGTTCTTCCAGTTTTAGATATCCTAAAATAGGATTCTTTTTAGTTTATTGTGTCAAAAGAATTCCATGTGTTATGGAAGTTCAGAAAAGAACAGTAATTTTCTAAATCTGACCCAGAGCTAACACACTAGGAACTTACTCTTCTACAGACACACACTTGCTTATCATGAACCTAACAGTGCGCAGGATGATAGGGAGACATCTGCTTACAACATTTAGAATTGAAGTCTACTTGTTCATCACTGATGAATTACAACAGAATGTATACACTGAGAATTTACAAATGGACAGTGTAAATACAAATATCTTCCCTCTAAAATGAGGTATCAAAAACCCCTTAATAGTACAAAAGTGAGTTTTAGGGTCAGTCCTCAGAAAAAATACGATTTAGCATAACATGCCTAAAATGTGCCAAGCTTTTGTGACCATCCCAGCAACATGCAGATGAAGAATCCCTGCACATACTTTTAAAAAGCTCTCACTTCTATTGAAAGTACTACTACAAATCCAGATTTAAGTGTTTAAAATAGCACATCTATAAAGCATGTAAGAATTATTTTAAGTAGAAGATATTTCTCAAGGTATTTCAGCTGTCATCCTGCATTTTTAGAATAATGAATATATTCATCGTCTTCCATACCCTAGATGCAATGCAAGGGCATGAAGGAAATATCTAAAAAACAGTCTCATAGAACTAGGTACATTTAAGCTCTTAGGAAGCTATTTTACTAGCTGTTACAAAAGACCTCTCACTGACTCCTTACCTCTGAATCTCCTTTGTTTAAACTCTCCAGAGTTTACTGAACAAATGCCATAAATGTTTATAATAGTTGTTGTAAATTGATGCTCTGAATATCATTCATAAGCAGTAATACCTTGTATTAGACTGATACAGATGGAAGGAACGGAAAACTGAAGATGTGGTGCAAATATGCTACAGGCAAAAACAGTATCTTCATTAAGCCCATGAGTCAGTTTTAATATCTAAAAAAGTTTCAAGTTTTCGTTCCCAGGCTTATCGTTTGAGAGAGGAAAATGGGATATGGAATCACTCAACATTGACATGAGCTACATTTTCCAGCTCAGGTCTGACATGCCCAAGTTACTGTTTGCAGAGTAATTTGCAGAGTCAATCCAATGCACCTGAGTCAAACAGCACTGGCTCCTTCCAAATCAGATCCTACAGGCCTGTCTTAGTAAGGCACTAAAGGAGATAAAGGTTTGTTAGATGTTTGACAAGCACACACGTCCCCACAGAACAGTTTTCCCCACAAACACCTCTCCACGGAGCAGCTTATGGTGGAATGAGAAATTTCCTGCAAGTTTAGTTCAGCAAGAGATTTATCTTAAACTACCTTAGTCTAAAGCCTGTAAAGAGAAAACCCCAATAGTCCAAATTAGTTTACGTAAAATACAAGCGCTTGGAGACTAATGGCTGTATCAGAGAGGATGTAGCTAGAAGTGCATTATTTCTTTATACCAATAGCTATTGCTATTTTTCTATACCCTTTGAAAGTTAAAGCAAGCATGAAGAGGTATATGTTTGCACTAGCATTCAACAGTTAGTTGCAACCTTTCCTAAGAACAATGCAAAGCAGAGGATTTGGCTGAACAGCCAGTCTCTTGTAACACAGCTCTAACATTTGAAAACTTGAAGATTCACTCAGCTGAAGAGCAACACTTTATAGACAGGCTGTTCAATTCACTTAAAAAAGGACAAAAGAGGATTTGTAAATGTGCTGCAGGGAAAGATTTGGCACGAGCAGGAAAGTAACAAAGATAATTTAAAGGATTTTTAGATGCCATATCTGTGATCAAAACAAATACCAACATATTTCAAAGTAGCTATAAGCGCTGAAATCTCATTAAAATAGAGAAAAAAAACGCAATTGTAACTGGGATATGGGAAATGCATACATATCTTGTGAAGTGAAAGGTCATACTCACCTATTCTATAGACAGAGCAAACATCTGTGATTGAGGTTTGTTTCAGTAAACGTATCACTTCTTCCAAATTTTTTTCTTTTGAAAAAAAAGATAGCTCTTCTGCTTCAAGAAATTCCAGATCTTGTGGTCTAACAAAGAAAGGAGTAACTTTGAGAACACCTCTGACTGACAGCCAGTTTGGCTTCAGAAGCTCACCATCATGCAAACTTGTGCTTGTTGCAGAAATTAATACAATCTTTACACTATTATAGGTCTTATTGTGGACAGAATTGCTAGCAGTCACATACTTAAACATGCATACAAACTGATCATAGCTATGCTTGCAGATTCCATGGCTTCTGCTACATCAGAGTAAATTTTGTTTCTGTCTGCATCATGATGCAGTATTTTATGAGAAAATTTATTAAAAACACAAATGTTTAAGGACATTATGTCATTAGTTTTCTAGTAAACTTAAAGTCACACACCAAATGGATCTGCAAGCTACATCTAAGAATTCCTTATGCACGCAAACACTTCAGACAGTAATGAGTGTAACTTGTTTACATGAGGCTAATGCATGTTAAATACAGTCGTAATAGGTTTTTTCTGCATTATGATCAAACATATGTATGAGGAGCCCCGTTTGAAACAAATTATAGGCTGTGTTGAGGGTACTAGCAAAAACAGAACTTGGATGCTTTAAACACAGGTCTCTAGAGACCAGTGAAAATGGAATCTTCTGAAATAGCAAGACTCCTTGGATCTTGTGATCCTATTGTATTGGATCCTGTTGGAGTGATCCGAATACGAGCAACTACAGAAACTCATTTCCCCAGTAAGCAACTCAGGTACGTACTGATAACATTTTTCAACACTTAACACTTCATGTTCCAATTTCTTTCCGTTTGCTTTGAGTGAAGCAAATTACGACAGTTCTCAGAAAAAGAGTTTAACATTCAGTATTTTAAAGCTTGAAACTCTTTCCATGCCTCTTTTAGTGTACAAGTTGAACACAAACATATCACTTACTTATTTCTAGATACATCCAGTTCAACATAACTTGTCTTCACAAAACCTGTTTGACCAGTAAATACATGTCTTCCAACAAACCATTCCATGCATTCAATGAAGTAGCCAAGGATCTCAATTTTGTCCCCTCCTTGGAAACTAATCTCTTCAGGCACAGTACTTTCATAACTCATCACAGCTAGACAGGATCCTGTTGCTGTGTAATAAGAATTTGCAGATACAGTAATTTAAAAATACAAATACACTTCATAGAATAGCAGCTCAGCAGAGAAACATGTTTAACCAAAGACGTTCCTGGAACTCTTGAACGGCACATACGGAAAGTTTTAAAGCATCAAACGCTAATCAGTTTGCTTTGAACACTTAAAATGGTAAATAAAGTCAAACTTCCCCAGGAGCAATTTCCCTGCCCTTAGAAAGCAATGTGTAAAATCTTTTCAAAAAATCTATCACGACAAAAAGAATTGTCTTAAGATCACTATTTTTCCCTCTCAGAGGGCTCTAACTTGGTCCAGAGTAAAAACGTTTGAACTCACTAATAAAATTCCTATTAGGTAAATATACAGTTAAATACTAGTCAATACAGTATTAAAACTATAAGCAGAGAATAGAATATAAGCCATATTTACTCTCTAACCTCATACAATCTGGGTTAATTGCTTTTATCCGGCAGCATTAGACAAAACAATGCACATATGAGAGATCCACAATAATCACATTGCTGCATTTTCTTAAAGTTCATCATCACACCTACAGAGGCATTCACTAATTAAATTCTCTTTACTACCTCGGGTATTTACTTGATTTAATATGTAAGATAAAAAAATTAAAAGGGAGAAGTGATACACCTTCAGACTAAGCTAGACATGTCTAGTGAGGTATTTCGTAAAAGCCCTTTGAAAATAGTTCTATAAGTATGATGTGCAGCCATAGGCAGACTTACGCTCTAGTTCTACTGCATTGTACTTTGGAAAAACTATTTTGCTGTCCTAGTAAATAGAAAAAGACAAGTTTTATTAAACCCTTTAACGTTTGTCCTAAAGAAAGCCTAGGATAAATTGACTTAAATGCTGATGGTTTGAAAGAGAGTTTCTTACCAACTTGCCTGATGGATTTAGGTTCTGTTTTGTAAGTAAGATCAATAGGGTCAGAATACACTTTAAGAAACCATCTAAAAGTAGAAAAAGAAATTGAAATAAATGTATGAAACACTTTACTAAATGTTGCGATAACAACAGTGAGATTTTAAATCCTTTTAAAAACAGGACAGACACATCCCTCCCATCCAATACTTCAGGTTCAACACTACGCACTTCAGATGCAACTATATTTTGCATATTGGTAGTAAAAGTAGCATTACTTCTTTTTTAGCCTTTTTAAGCTATCAATTTGTAGCTCAGACCTTAACTTGAAGCAAACTGCATTAGGGAGTTGGATAGCTCCTGCCAATAATGTTGACTAAAAACACTGCTAGCCTGTTGTCTACATTTCCAGGTATCCTGAAAATCTAAATTCTCACATTTATGTTATTCTAGAAGTGTTAATAGCCATTATTTCAGATTCAGGAAAAAAACAATATCTGACTTACAAGATAAGCCATCATCTTTTATGCTGCACTGAAGGCATCTGGATTAATTTCCATTATATGGTGTGGAAGAAAATAAAGAGAGCATTTGTTCTCACTGGTAGATGGATGCTTCATAAGAAGCTACCATTTAGAGATGCTTGTGTCTAAACAGATATGTGGATATGAAACAGATGCATATGAAATAAGTAGATAAAGTCAAATACCTACTGATGAAAAGGGATCAATGGCTCTGAAGAAACACTAGACAGCATGGTCATGTCACCATCCACAGATCCACCTGATGCATCTTCAGTAAGAGCTCCATTCTCACAATAAATATTTATTTCATTGTTTGTAGCCATAATCTTTCTTATCAGATTGTCAGGACTTAAAACAAAAAATGCCCCTAGGAAGAAAGCAGTGCAGCAGATGCCATTTTAGGTAATGTTTTCCTGTCATGCAGGCTTTAAAATGAGCTTCAAAAGCATCAATAATATTGAATAAAGATTGAAAAACAGATTTCATAACAGTTTTCTGAATGTTTGCCAGATATTCATACATTCATCTAGTTTATATTTAAGTAAAAAAGGTGGAGGTGAGGTGTTCTATAAAGTGTGGAACCTTCTTCTATTGCAACATTTTTTGGCAAGTTATCTAGCTATATATAACTACATTCCCCAAAGAACATAAGGAACAGAAGGAATGTTCCTACAGAATTGGTCAGTAATCTACCTAGCAGCTCAGCATGGTCTCTGACAGTGGCAGTAGATGATGTCATTTATAGAAAGCACATGAGCCTGGCCACTCTCTGCAATCCATTTCCCTCAAATCTCCCCAGGATCTGGAATAGTATTAAGCATGTTAGAGCGTGTACCCCTGCCTAGGCCTTTTGGGCCTTTTATTTGTGGACTAGTTGTACATGAATTTCTCTAATTTCCTCTGATCCTGTTGAACTCTAAACTCAGAAATATCTCTGTGCTTGTTCCTTTCTCTTTCTTTTCAGTCCATTTGGAGTCAATAGATTTAAATTTCAACTTCAATAAACAATCAATAGGTCTTTACATTTGTTCAAGATTTTACATAAAGTTGCTTCTCTAAAGTTGGCCTTAACGCATGCAGTCCTCCTTACCTTCCTGTACTAGCAGACTTCTGTACATCAAATTTAAAGATTTTTCATTTATACAGACTTCAATGCCTGCTTCTTCTTCCTCTTGAGAATAAAGCCAGAAAGATTGACCTAGGAATAAATTCTCCATGCAGTGATTTATAAAACCTAAAAAAAAAAATAAATCCAATGTTTCACAGTGTTGTAGATTTACCAAAGAAAAAGACTTCTCAGGAAGTCAAGAGAGTTGGTATTCAGATCACTCAACTGTTGTTTAACCCACAACATAAAACTACTTTTGCTTCCTAGTATTGACAAAATTGCATCCACGGAATCACAGGTTACAACTACTTTCGGTGCTTCATGCTCAGACTACACATAAAGGTTATATAAATTCTCTGTGCTTGACACCACTGAAAGAGTAGACCATGCCCTGGCCTTACAAGGGTTCCCCATAATTTAAAGTTGTATCGGAAAGATTTGCAGCCTAAATGACAAGGTAATCACTAGCAAGCTTTGAGCAACAGGTCACTTAACATCACTTAACAGCAGATGACTAGAAATCATACACAGCAAAACATAATCTCGTCATAACTCTTCATTGCCAAATTCAGCTGTGACTACTTAAGCACAGATATTGTGCCTCGGTGCCAGATTCCTGGTATTTCCATAGAACAGAGACAATACTGCATTCCAGCGTTAGGTAAACCACAAGAAGTTAGTGCTTGATCTTAGAAACTGAGAATCCTACATTAGGACTTTCAAAGCTGTAATGGTTACATGGACATGTGGGTTAGTGTATCCTAATAAAGCTGGTATAGTCAGTAGATGATTCTTTAAGGGGCCAACATTAACACATTAGCTAATCCTTTGTGCAAAAGTTAGTGTTAAGAGGAAAGATGGACAGATCAGCAATTAGGGTGCTACTCTGCAATTTGGAAGATGCTGCATCAATTCCTTTTCAGCCACAGCCATTTGTTAGAAGGAACTTTATCCTCTTGTGCTTTTTCTCTGCAATTGATTTTTTAAAGTTTTTTTTTCTAGTTCCTTAAGGAGCATTTTGAAATACAAAATGGCTACTAAATAAAAAATACAAAATTATAAATGAAATTCATTAAATTGGTCAGATGGGAATAAGCAAGTTCGTTAATAGTGTATGCAAAGCAGAAGAAAAATCAAGTGAAGAAAAACAAAAGGAAGATGATCTGATTCAAATGCTATGCTTCAGAAAAGACTTGTGGGGTCATAGGATATTAGAAACGGAAGTCAGCGGCATCATACTTGTTACAAAAGGCACGCTCAGATTTTGGAACTGCACTGAAGTATGTTAGGCATATGAGGCAATCTTTGTTTTACTTGGTATTTCCTCTGAGGCCTAACCAACTCTGTCCAGTTCGCTAACTACTATTGAGGAAAGATGCAGACCAGCTAGGAAGCCAGTGGACAGCAGGTCTGACCACTGCTCCATAGGTCTGGAAAGTACAGTCTGTGAAGACCGATTGATTTTCCTAGCGAATACACTGAGAAAAGTGTGGGATAGAAGCCTTCAAATAAATATGAGCCTAGCACTAAGAGAAAGGAGTATTTCTCTAGATTTATGGTGAGTAGGAAAAGCTGTAAAAGCATTTAAAATGCAGCACAGATTCAGGTTAGAAATTAGGAAGTTAAGAATAAGGACAGGATTGGACCAGATTACTTAAGAAGAGGATATGGTCTGATCCTAGGGTATTTAAATTACTTAAACAGCTACTTAGGAAGGACAGCTAAGCTATTGCCTACACTGGGACAAAGGCATGGTCCCCTTGGAGGGGGTTCTCTCCTTCCTATCAACATTACTAAGTTCAGTAACATCATTTGCTGCTACTAGAAGTTCCTACATTAAGAATCAGGTTTTATTCTGAAAATGCTTTTCAACACATTCCCAGTTAACCAGAAATTGTGTGCAGAACAATAAAACAAAAGCAAACTGAACTACTGTGTGGTAAAATAGCATTACCAAGCAAATGGTAGGTTAGAAACCTCCATATTTCTTCAAAAGTTTTAAACGTCACCACTATTAGGTCTTGGTCACTGTGAATAGACAGCAATCTAGCAGAGAGCTCCTAAAATAAAAAAACAATATTTATTGAATCTGTTGTTGATATAATTGCAATAAGCAAAATTTCTGACTAGTTAACACACTGAAACACTAATAAAAGGACGGGTAAAAATCATCCAACATTTCACCTATGATATCTGTTCTTAAAACACAGACCTACAACAGTCAGCCAACTTCTAATCTGATTTATTCTTATGAATTATACCAACCCTCAATTCCAATGAGGTTAATTTACAGAGAAATTAAGACCATAGGAATGACCAAACTGAACGAGGCCAAAGTCCCATCTGATTTAGACATGTCCCTATACAGTGGCTGCTATTGGCCATAAAGATTATGAAAGCCAGGCAAGCCTCTGGTGACACTTTCCAAAAATGCTGTCCTAGCCTGTAGCAACTTGAAGCTCAGGAACTTCCTTTGCTAGATATGCAGGCCTTAAATAGCTCAGGATTTCCCCCCCATCCCCAGCCACTTTTGAGCTCCCATAAATTTTTAGAACCCACAGCATTCTGCTGCAGGGTTAGCCTCAGGGCTCCGTACACATGGCGAAACACAGCTTCTTTGACACATTTTTGAACGTGCTACTGGGTAGCTTCGTTCTTATTCCAGAGGAAACATTGAACAGTCATTTCCTAGTTTACTCTTTCTACACATTAAGACTAATTAAATATATTGGATTATTATTTTTAAAAGGCTGTATTAAGAAGATCCTTCCTTCCTCATTTATACCAGCAGGGCTGAAACTAAAATATCTTGTAAACATAGACATCAAAAAAGCTCAGCTGCTCATGATGTTCATGTTGCTAGGGTGGCATTAAATTTTGCATTTTATAAAGACGAACAACAATCACTGTAAATTATAATGATGGATTTTCAGGGATTTCAGCAATACCAAAGTGAGAACTCCCTAAACTTTCAAATAAGTGAAATACGCTTTAATTTCTTCTAGCCCAACAGCGATAACATGCAGTCTGATTGCACTTCAGTTAGATGCTTAAAACTAGGATTGTACAATGATACAATGAACCATATTTCAGGAAAATGCAAGAAATTGTGGCAATTTGACTCAAATAGCTGAATCAGTGTCTCAGAGAATAAGTCAGATACAAAACTAAACAGGTATAAAGTTACTATATCATTTCCCAATACTGTACCCTCGTCTCTGTCACATCACAAACTTGAAGTGCATCTTTAAAGATGTTGAACGACTGTTCAAACTGATCCTAATTCTACAAAGACATTGTCTCTCAAAAAATTTCTGCAGTCTAAACAAGATAGAGTTTGATCCACTGCTTTGTTGACTAGATTTTAAAAGATTTCTGAATTTATTCTTTTTAATTACCATATTTTTAATTCACACAACATGAATGGAATATTAATTCCTCTTTGAAAACAAAAGTCTGATTCGAGCCTCTTCCAACAGGCATGCCTCATTACTGCTTTGATCTTGTGCAAGCCCCTTTCTACACCAGATGAAATGTTAACGAGACCCTGAAATCTGTTAATAAATTGCCAACACGTGCTAAAATCTCAGCCTCAGGGGCTTCATGCACTGCTCGTTATCAAAACGAAATTCTAAGGAAACTATTATAAATCTTGCTTCCTTGAAAGTTCTTTTCCCAGTCTGCTTCTAGTAATGCCTCAAAATCTAGTCTATTTGTACAGTCTCCTTTCCCCTCTCTTTGTCATTGCTCTCTCTTCCTTCCCCTCCCCTAAAACAAAAATTAAAGCAGAGCAGTAAGAGTACACATTGTTTTCATGGCTACAGAATTAACAAGCTGATGATGAAGGATTTGTAATACATAAAAGGAAAATCATGGAGGAACAGGTACATCCAAATCAAAGTCATATCTAAGATTTGGGTGTTTGGCTTGCTAGTGAAAGAGGCTAGAACCCATGGCTCAGACAAAAAAGACAAAGATAAAATACTATCATCCTCTGTTTTCATCAAAAGGAAAGCCTTTAGATTGTTTTTGTAGCAAACAATTGGTTATACAGGACAGATTTTCTATATATGATCCATTCTGAAATATAAAACAAATTTGAAAGGGTAATAAAAACTGGCCAGCCTTGTGCGCAGTTTAAAACTACAGCTACCCAGCCCCAAGAAGTCCAATACTTATGCTATTCTTTTGACTTAGTCTTTGGCTCAGCAGTGGACATTTCAGGTAACTTTCACGACAAATGACTGTTTAAGTGACTAGAAACTGAAATGAAGAGTCAGTATGAGGGCAAATTATCAAATTAGACAAAAACATGATTTCCTTTGATGTAAATTAAAGCAGGAGATATTTCAAAGAAGTCCGTTAAATATTTTATTTAGCTAGGTTTATTTTGCATAAATTTGGTGTTCTACTCTTTCTGGATAGTCCAATGTTTCTAATGTCTCTAGATGGAGTTGGACCTTGGGAGACTAGCCCCTAAAATTCAAGCATGCAGCACGCAGATGAGAACGGGACCCGAGTATTTCACAGATGAGTTCAAAACCAGAGTGGTACCCTCAGAATAAATAGAACTCAATTCCTACACAAGTGACTTACACTGAAGACTGCTGTGACCTCCCTGCTGTCATTTTCCAGAAGACGGAGTCGTCCTCTTAGCTGTCTTTGGAGCCTAGGATCAGGACACCCACTTTTTCGTCTTACCGCAGTTAACTCCAAGGAGATATCTGGAGAAGGATATCCATTTACAGATTACAAGTTTTGTGATGAGGAAGAATCAGCTTTGCCAGAACCAGAAGACCCCTCATAGTAATAGAGACTACATTAAGAAGTTTTCTGGCTGAGTCACACCTGAATTGGTCCTTACTTTAAAGCCAGGAATTATGGTGGCTCAGAGGTACAAAATAGTGTTACTGGATTACAAGACCCCTCAGTTTAGCTATGCTTTTGTAGTCAGAGTAAGCACAAAGAACACAAGCTAAATTCTTCAAATATTACTCAGATCACTGTTACTTTACAATTATCAACGTTCATTTCCTTCAAAGACATAAAAAACCAGCATAAGAAAGACTACTTTTTAAAAAATAAAAATTGTTTCACATTGGTTGAATTGTGTCCAAGTTACATATTTAACTGTAGAAACATGATTTAAGTCTTAGGTAGACTTAGTAATTACTAAGATAAAAATTAAATTGAACTCAAATGACAGTAATACGGCTTCTTCTGCCAAAGAGACAATGCTGATGAAAATGAAATGTGGTCCAAAACTCACTCAGTCACACCTATGGTGATCTTCCTACGTGTGTTAGTGAGCTCTACACACCCTCAATTAGAAAGAACCCAAATTCTGTAAGGATACAAGTAAATCTATGCTTAGTGAAACATAAACAGGTAATTAAGCACAAATAGTTTCACTACACAACTGTATGCTTGGGGGGGACGGTCAAACACTGATATGATTTTTCAGATCAAGCTAGAAGAAAGAGCACATCCCACTTATTGATTCCAGTATCTTCAGTGCAGAATCCATGAGATTAGGTTCAGGGACTGCCTTCAATAAGAGTTATGGCTGCTTAAAGTCTGTGCAAGCTTCTTTGAAATCCTGAAACCAGACAGACTGCAAGGGACATTACAGCACAGTTTCTTCTCAAGTATAAAGACATCCTGAGTTATCAGAGGAGTCATTTACCTATTGGTATTAGGGAACCTAGCTTGCTTAAAGGAAGAAAGCAAAATTCAAACTGGTGCACATAGATAAATTTAGACATTTTTCTTAAGAGTCAAAAGTGCTGATAAGTCAGTTTTATTTCTCTTTCGCCATAAAGAAGAAACAGGATGTGTAACTACCCCTCATTTCCTAGAGTAGGACATGAGCCCTCCAGAGGGGAATTTTACCGTACCTACTTAGTGAAGAACTTTATCATAGCTTTATTAATAATACAACATTTTAAATTTTGAGACACAGAAAGGCTGCACAAGAGTGAGTAAGATATTTAAAATATTAAATTACATGCCTAAAATAAGCAACAATCTCTTAACTTGCATTTTTATTAGCTGTTCCCATACAGTCCCTAAATTCTTTCCGGCTTTTATGGCAATTTAAGTTACTTTTCTCATTTTATGAGAAATTCTCAAAAAATCTTATGTAGAAGTTGGATATTTGTAGGTGCCACAAGGCGTGTTGTCAAGTTAAAGGAATGATAAGTTTAAAGGCTGTTGATGTAGTAGTTTCAATTCAAGAGAGTTAGTAATGACAGGGCATTACATTGGGAAGAGATGTAATGAAAGAAAAGTTCTTACCAGTTGGAAAATTCTCTGCCCTTGAACTGACATCTGCGCATTTTTCACTTTGAGAATATCCTATTACATAAAAGGGATGATTAAGTGCATTTTCAAAGTCCACATAAATCATACTGAAAAAAAAAACACGTACTTTAAAGAGATTGATGACCTGGAGAACTGCTAAAAGAAAGTATCTAGTTAGATCTTTCTTCCTATCTGCTTTATGATTCACAGAGTACCAAAAGTATCTGCAGATCATTTCTCTTCTACTGGGGAGGAAGTTAGATCTTGATTTCACCATTTTCACATGAAGTTTCAAGATGATGGGGAATTAGTGGAAAACTGGAGTCTCATTTGAGAGCAAGCAAGAGTCAACTCGACTTTCCCTCTCCCTTCCCACCTATACTAAAAGTTGGTCTCCACTGGATCTTCAGCGGTATAACTTGTCAGTGATATCAGTGCCTTCTACCACTTTATGAGAAATGATACCTCAATTTATATTTACTATAAATTAATACTTGAGGGGACTAATGTAAAAATAAGAGCAACTAAAATTTTAAAGATTTTTAATGCAAAATAATTATCTGCTCCCCATTTTTTGGCCCATATTCCTTCCAGGCCTTTTGGAAATAATATGTATTTTATGCTAAAAACCACACCCTGAAGCCACTTCTGATTTTCACAAGGCTCCCTTGGCAAAAGTCTGCAAAGACAAGATTTGATATTTCTAAGAATAAAAGTGGGGAGAAAAATCTATTTTTTTTTTTTTTTAAAGAAAGCTTCTGAGACAGTTTTCATATACAAGACATTTTCTCCTGCAGCTCTGCTTTTAAGAAAACAGTTGTAATTAGTATAATGGCATAATGTCTAGTACTTTCTATCTTCCTTTGATCGCATCTGTTGAAGTTGCATAAAAAGTAAAGGCAAGCAAACATACTAGGCTACGTAAAAACAGGATTTTCCTACTGATTATGAAAACAAGCAGTAACCAGTAAAGCAGTCATCCCTAAGGCCAATTATTAGGCTACACTAGCATTAGAAATTTAAATTCCCAAGCATTTTGTTTGTTTTTTAAATATGGGCCCAGTGATATTTGGTTTCAAACTGAAATCTGGCAGTAAGATAACTGCAGTCTAGCCTGACCAGATTTAAGAAACAAGTAAAACAACTTCTCTTCTAGACTTAGTTCCAGCTCATAGTTCTAGTTCTGCTTTTTCTGGTTTTAGTCAGAAGTAGAGACAGATAGGGCAATTGTCCAAACCGTAACAACATATTATCACTTTGACCATCACCTAACAGTTGAGAAGATATGCAAACTTTCCATTACTCTTACTTCTATAGTATCAGAGGTGAACTTTACTTGAAAGGTATTCATCAAGACATTAATATTCAGCAGGTAATACTCTCTTTGAAAACTACTCCTTAATACTGCCCTGGGATGCTTGTACCTGGTATTCTTAGATGTCCGTGCAGTTGCAGCTGTAAACAGAAAGATGTGTTTTTTTCTAAGCCATATAACATATGGAAATAGTTTATGATTGCTTAAAGTATTTTCTCATTCAAAAACACTCATGCCTGCTATAAAGTTTATCCACTGATTTTGATAGATCAACTACTGCTACCTTTTGGAGCTCTACTGTTACACTCAAAAAATGTTTGACTTGCATGTTTTTTTTCCCCTGCACGTAGTATTTTTCCATTTGCACAAAACCAAATATAGTTCAAATATGAGAATGAGAAAAGGGAATCTCAAGATTTTACTGAAATGGAAACATGCATTCTAATTCATCTTTGCTTTAATCTCAGAAGCAAAAAGTGATTAAGTCCTAGGCAAAGTACTTGCTTTCACTATTATTGCTCCTGGGTTTAGATAAATGAATTATGATGAGATTAAGTTGAGATGAAAAAATTAATTTTTCGGTCTGTTCAAAGTGAATTTGAATGTAGATCATTTAATATGCCAATCCATGCAGCATTTCCATGGAGGAAAGGCAGCTAATTGTTTTGTTGTGTTTAATAATTGTGGAAGTATTTCAGAAAACCTCAGATGAAAAGCATGCGACAGTTCTGCTTCTGCACAGCAAGCAATATTTAGAAATAAAGCAACTTAATTATGAAGAGTCAGAGCAACCAGGAAGTAGTGATAGGTCTTACCCATTTGTTCTTGGAAAGCGTCCTTCTCGTTTTCATTACTGTTCATGGCAGCATCGGCCTCCTCACATTTCCAGTTAGACGTCCACCTTCCCTGCTGTCTTTTCTTCCTTTCCAAATTACTGTCTCGCTTTCCCTCTAGACTAGGAGCAGGGATTCCCTCCTCTGTAATTGCATGAAACCTGAGCACAGACGCACTGCCTCTCACTGCTGTTGCTGAACTCTCCATAATTTGCAATTCCTCACAGCAGTGCAATTAACATTATCAGGAATCTGAGGGAAAAATTGATAGTGTATTAAAAAAAAAAAACCTCAGCATACATGACCATGTTCAAGAGCCGCCCTCTTCTGTAGGAGTTATTTTTATTCATCATAAACATGAAAGTATTGTTTAGCAACCCACCAGGACAGGAGACCCATTCTATTAAGTAACAAGGGACACAAAGAAGAACAAAGAGAGGGATATAATGCAGGGAAAGTAATCAATGACAACCGAAAATATAACTTCCGTTTTTTGTTTTAAATTCTCTCTAAGGGATAGTTGAGTGGAGATCAACTAAAGAAAACTACAAGGAACAAAAGTAGTGCTTGAACACGCAACAGCTGGAACAAAAGTAGTGCTTGAAAACACAAGAGCTGGCTATGAAAAGCACTTCAAACTATTCTAACTGCTTGCAACTGAAGATACAGGTAGCAACAGAAAGTAGTAAGGAGCTTGCCCCAAAGCCAGCTAGCAGGAAATGCTCCATGATAAATACCCAAATTCCAGATACGGATAATCTGACGCAGACCACAAATGAAAGAAATGCCTTACTGTCATTCATCATTGTTGCACCTTAATTTTAATCCTGGGCAAGACATTTTTACCTTACTAGCACCTCAGCTTTCCTCACTGCAAAAGGGGAGAGGGGAAGTCAATTTTAGAATATACCTTCAGGAGTTGTTCTGAAATTAGCTAGCATTTCTCTCATATGCCTTTAAGAACTCTAGTTACTAATGTCTAAGTTTCGTTTTAACCTTTTCTCAGGTGGAATTGTTGCCTGACACCCAAATTCATCGCAGAAAAAGCTCCTGCAGTCAGATGGCATCACTGCCTTAGAAATAAGGCAAAAGGTAAATTTGACCAATAGCGACAATCCAAGGCCTGCAATGAAAGGTACTTGTGCCCATTGCTAATTATTCGTTCTTGGCGAGCTTTAATGGAGAGCCTCCAAGAGACAGCATTCATTCACATTAACAGAAGCAATGCAGGGGAAAACGTCAGTAATTTGCTAAAGGTGACAAGAATGGAACGTGTGCTGCATGCTTAATTCAAAGAAGCGGGCAGATTTTTATAAATCCAGCTAAAGAATGAGTCCTGTGGAGGAACCCACAGTGCAGGAAGACTGGTATGCACAGAGGCAAATATTTCTCTGCGGTAAAGAAGCTGAGTCATCTACTAGAAGCTAAAGGCTGAGTCTGGCAGCAAGACTGTTACTGACATGAACACCAGCAAAAAGGAATAGAAATGGAAGTAGAGCACAAGGAGTTGCAACCTTCACTGCTCCCTTTACAGCTGCTGACTGTAGACGTTCTGCTGATTTCTTGGGCACAAGCTACTTCAGTTTCAGGTTGAGACAAGTGGAACCAGAGCATCATCCAGTGCATCTGCAAAGGATTCAGTGTAGCCAGCACATACCATGCTGATATTTAGATCCATGTCTTACGTGGGCTCTCACATGCCACTAATCAATAACATAAACCACAGGTTAGGTTTTGCTTGACCCAAGTTGGACTTAAGCCAAGTTCCTCTGCACTTATTCCAGCCATACTCACTGGTGAGCTATGTTCATTATAAGTATATGTATACCAAGCTTGTAATCTTAGTGAAGCTTCCTCTCACTTTTTTGCTAGTAGAAATTGCTTAAAACTGACGCTGCTGATGGAAGGTTGCTCTTGCTCTGCCAAAACCTCAGACTAGTGCCCAATCACCTAATAGCCCCTTCTGACCTGTCTGGAAATTTCTTACTTCTCTGTTCACTATGTATCATACAGGACATGGTTCTAGCTTGCCCCTTCACATGCATGCCTTCCCACACTTCTACCCTTGCAAGTTATCATGACATAGATCCCAAACCTGAATACAACTGAGTGCCAGTATGAACACTAGTAGCAGTTCCTAGCTCTCTGCCAGGAAAGGCAGATAAGCAGGAGAAGACAATGAACTCTGCACAGTTTTCATACTCTATACTTCACTCTATGGAGTATTTGAATATAGTAAGTTATTAAGCTATTTAGTAGTAAGTAAGCTAGTTAGTAAGCTATTTATATATAGGTAGCAGCAGGGTACACAATTACAAAAAATTAATGAAGTCATATGCAGGTGGCATGACAAATTCTCAGAGATTTAAATTATAACCACGTCTATCAAGCAATTTACTAATGAAGTGTGTAAAAACCTAAGCTGGACATTGTTTTAATGGCTTCATCGTCTGATTTAGCCATTTATTAAGGCACTTTCAAAAATGTCGGAGAACTGCAGCTGATAAAAGATTCATTGTGCTGCAACACTGAGGTTCTCTATAGAAAGATATGTGTATAAATTCATATACACACATAAAACAGAGATAGAAATTCAAGAACAACTGATTTCAATGGTTCAATCTAAGAGAGTATTTCCACAAACACACCGAGTTAGCATTTCAGTTATGACTTGAGATCTCAATTTCTCTTGCTAACTTCCCCAAGAAACTGCCTATCACTCTTGAGGACCTAATTATAAGTGATTAAAAGCACAAGCTTGCTGAAAACTAAACTTCATGTTGCTAGGGATATGCTTTTCCATTTATACAGCTCATCTTTTCCTTAAAATAATGACCCATACAGTAGCTACTAAAAGTTTATTTTCAGCATTGTATCATGATTACATGTAATGCCTTGTATTTTTCCACTCTTATGAATTATATTCTTTTTATCTATTTTTATGTGTGTTTGCTGTTGATAGAGATATACTGTGATATGAAGGATAGTTAAATTCCAGGTGCAGTTTTTAAATTATAGCGTTCAGTGAATCCCAGAGTCTTTCATACTGGCAGATACAATTTTTGATTAGAATTATCCTTAATCCTAGAAGCGAAATCCAGTGTTCAGAATATTAGTATTTGCCATCCCTTCTACCTACAAGCAGAAATATCAACAAAATTTAGGAAAAAAGCACACATGTCTGGGACTAGAATTCCAGGAATTCAGATAATGAGTTAGAGAAAAGATTAACTTCTCCTGTCTCCTACTTGAGTGTCTACATGTTGTAAAGGTAACATATAGAAACAAGGTTCTGATTGAACCTGTTAAGCAGGATGCTACAAAGGCAAAGAGCAAATGGGATTTTTGAATATATTAAGATAGATATGATCTGTTTAAGAAGACTGAGTCATTATCTCAGAGCCTAAGCCAAAGAAGAAATCAAAATGCGAGAAGAAAAGGAAAAACAATATGTTCTGATCATTTTTTTCCTCTTGGTTCTTCCAAGAGACAGCGAAAATTAAAATCTCAAAAACATTTGACAGCCACGCTCTCCTCTGCGATTTCCTTTCCTATCTTTAATATTTACCTAAACTGTCAAATGTGAACCCATGTGGCTCTGTATAAGCACCAAGAATAAGATAGTAAATAACTCTTCTGTTGCTGGGCACCTTCTGTAGCTAGATCCTTTTGAATGTTCATTTAGCATATAAATGCATCTTAAAGCATACAGATGTGGCCCCAAGTGAGAAAAATTTTCAGAGAGCTTGGAAACACATGGGTTTTTACCCTTTTACTATTCAACTTTGACACTCATGTAAGTACCCCAAAGACCAAAATCGTAACATACAGGCAGTGCTAAGGTATATCATCATATGTATTGTGCTGATGCTTTCTCATCAGTTATTAACCAGACCCAATACAAATTAAAACAGATTTTTCATAATGCTAACTTCTAGCATATTTACTGTGATAGCAACACATACAAGATGAAGAAGATGGATTAAAGATTGGATCTAGTACTTCTCATGTAAAGTGGGTTTGTCTTTTACAACTGGTCTCGCAATCTACATTTACATGCACTGACAAAACATTTTACTTTCAATTTAGACAAAATGATTATATTTTGTGTTCTGTGAGGCTTGACCAAAAAATTAATTCGTTGCAGGATGCTGGCCAAAAAAAACAAAAAACCTTTATCTTCCCATTTCTCCAAACCAGGGGCCAACCTCTATTTCAGAGGTGTGCATGCAAACTCCCCACTGATCTGAGCTAGTCTCACTTTCTAAGGAAGGCACTTGTAATGAATATGAGTGGTGAGAGACAAGATGCAGAAGCTGGACAGCTCAAAAACTCCTCCAATAGAGGTTCCCTGGCACGAGCCTTCCGCATGGCCTGAGCTCACTAGGCCTGCTGCCCTGCACAGAGTCACTGCTAGTGCCTGTCCAGGCTCACAAGGCTCTGAAGGTCGTTCCACCTTCCCCTCACCTTCTCACTGAGCACAGCATGCTGGAAAGGGCAGTATTCAACAGCTGAGGAACGTGATAGGGAAATAAGACACTTCTTTCCTACTGGAAGTTAAATAGAACGATTCTGTTATCATGCTATTTTCCTCTGTTACTACTTCCTTTTCAGTGAGTGCCTATATCTGTTTTTCAAACACAGCTAACCAGAAGAAAAACATAGCTCGACATTTTCCATTTCCCTGACTATGCAGACTGAGGGTTTTTCTGCTTTTTGTTTTTTCAAAAGGAGTTATGGATGACAAGAGCACTATTTGAACACTATTTTTAATCTCCCACCAGCTTGTTCTCATTAAAGGGGGCTGAAGAGGAAAACTAATAACATCTGCAGAACAGGTTCTTTTAACATTCTGTCTGTCTTGAAAGATATTTCTAACGATGAGAAAAGGCCCACTATCTAAAAATGGATTATATTTGAACTAGTTGCTTATAAGACTGCATGCAATAACCACATTTCTCTTTTATGGTCATCTTCCCATTAAGATGCTTAGGAGAACTTACAAACATTTAGCTTCAAGTTACCTGTGGCAACTATAATTATTCTAATTTTACAAGTACAGAAATAAAGACAAAGATTATTTGTAGTGACACAGGAATTCTATAAAGTGCTGGAAAAATAGCTGAAGAGTTCAGTGCTTCATGAGTTCAGAGAGCTGAACTTAAAGCTGGATTAATTTACCACGAGAGGATTATTCATACATATCGGGAACCTCCTGGGTGATAGAAAGTTACTTTCATTGCTCCTCTGTGCATCAATTCCTAGCTCTATGGGCCAATCCAAGAGGGAGCAGCAGGTACTGTTCCTCTCATCTCACCCAAGCTGCTTGTGGATGAGGGGCAGCTCTTCTAAGTTTAAAATCTCCAGACCCTTCTAATCACTATCCAGGCACCCAAGGGCTGTGGTAGCCCCTGAGTTCTTATCCTTGTCTCATGCAGCACGTCAGGTTCCTCCAAGCTTCCAAACCTGGCAGGACATCCAGTGAAATCTGTATTACCGTCATCGAAAGCGCATTTGCCTGTATGCACTTCCTTGCTTTTGTGCTCTGCTTTGTCTTCTGTATGTCTTACAATCCTTACACGACGTATAACATCTCGGTCTTGCGTCTCATTACTCAGATCAAAAATTAATCCAGGTCATTTTTCCAAACTGATGCTAGAGTAGTTATTTTACCATTCCTTCTCCCCAGTTTCTCTCAACTCACATTTGTTTTGCTCTCTTAGGCTTCAAATATCTCACAAATAAGACTATTAACTATGTACTTGGAGAGAGTAAATCACAGCCAGGCCTTGATCTGTATGAAATTCCACCACAAGCATAAATTAAAAAAGCCATAGTATGTACTGTACAGGCAATGCTTAGAACAGTGAGCTTTTTTCCCCTTCCCGTGCTGTTACGTTTTACACAGAAAGGTAAAGCAAGTCTGTGGTCAAGTTAAATGGACTTAGGAATTTGAGTGCCTTCTGTAAATGGAAGATAGGTTTCCTATATCAGTGAAGTAATTTTAGGTTAGTAGTGATTCTACATTAGTTACTATGTCATATCATTGGTCATGTTTAGTCTACCAAAAAAAAAACACCCTAGCAAGCTTCACGTTTTAACCCTCTCTTGATTAGTTTTCTTCATAGCGGAGTAGCACTGAATTGTGCTGCTTTTCACCTGCAATCACCAGCTGTACGTTCAGCTTTGAATATACAGTAAGTTCAAAATTTCCAAGTTCTGATACTGAAAACTATGGATTCAAATCCACAATTTAGTGGCTGATTAAAAGTAAACATTAATTGAATGGGTACTTCTGAAAAAAATAACGTCACTCTAAAACTGGAAGAGACATCTGTGAATCTCAATACTTCATTTTGAGTGCTAGATTTGACAGAATTTGGCCTATGGCAGGTTAAGGCAGAAGAATAAAGCAGGAGGAACGCTTCTGTTTCTAAATAGCAGCTCAGCTGACAACACTGCCTAGAGCAGAGAACACAGAATCACAGATCACACTTACATGTATTTTTCAGTCATTTCAGTATCAGTACCTCAAAGTATTCAGTACTGTTGATATTATCCCCTTAACAGGCTGCAACGCTAACAGATTGACAATAACCCTACAGTGAAATACTAGGCACAAGCACCTAAAATACAGTGACAGACATTCAGATATAGAGCATGAATTTTCCTACCTTCTCAAAGCCTGATTTGTTGTAACGTGCTGGTAAACAGACTGATCTGTGCTGTCCTCAGCTCTGCTCAGAGCTAACTTCAATACAGCTCTTCCTGTTTGACCTTCTTATCTTTCCTGTTGATTGCACAGCCCAGCCTGAATGTGGTAAGTACAAAAAGTTGTCTATTAACTGATATTGTTAATTCAAAAACTTTTTAAAAAAAAATTCATGAGCAAAGTTCGTTATGCAAAGCAGAAATGTATCGAATGTGCTGCAAGGTTCATTGAAACACTGGCTTTTTCAGACCAATAATTCATTTTGGCATTTTGCATTAGCAGCTAAAAAGTTCTGTGGGATGTATCCAGATTATTGTGCTAAGTAAGCATTGTTCAGACAAAGTAACAAATAGTCCTTCAGACAGAGTCCCAGGCTTTGATTCCCCTTTGCTTTTGATCACAGAATTAAACTTTTTGCTATCGTTCCAGCTATAAAAAGCCTCATGAATAATTATTTGAGGATGAATTCACTTTGATACGTTTGGCTTTAAACTGCAAATACGTATAGAGTGTTGCAGATCTTTCCTGCACTGTGCAGCGCTCAAAGCCCTAAATATCAGTTTGTGGCATTAAGCAAATTTGCTGCAGAGTAAGTGCAGAGCATGTTTTCCACATCATAAAACTTCTTCATCACTGACCCAAGTACCAGATCCCAGATGACCCACACATAGGCAAGGGAATGACAGAAGCTGAAAAGAAACTATCCTATTTCAAATCTACTTGCTTTTTTCCCTTCTCTCCACACTGAGATAAGGATGACTATTTTCATCTTCTTTCCTTTCCTAACATACTCAAAATTTCACATACAGTTAGTCATAGTCACATTACACTAATTATAGGTAAGCACTGAGTACCCCAAATGCCACAGGGGTGGGTTGCCCATTGCAGCAGGCACTACGCGAGGACAGAACAGATAGACTGTATCCCCCCAAAACGTCTGTCTGATGCCTCAGACATCTCTAGTCAGTAAAATCCCAACACTGGAGGTAGCAGGGCATTGACCAGTTGTGTAGGGGGGGAGCGGGTGTTGTCCTGAGATATATCGCACAGCTGGAGAGAGGCTGTGGGTTCGGCAGCGCCTGGAGGACACGGTTTACGGTGAGGGGATGCCCTGCGCAGCACCACTGCCCACCCTCCCTCCCGCCCCTGCACCCCTCGAGCATCGCCAGGCAGCCTGGGGACCCATCAGATACCATCAAGATCTTTGTTACGCCTCTTGCTCAAAAACACACAGTTAAACTTTCTTTTAAGCTTTATACACTAATGATTAGTTACACGTCAGACTCTCACTTACCTTACATTATCTTCTCACCCCGTGTTAATATGAATTATAAATACTATTTCACACAGATCGGCCAATCTGTTCCTACAGTATGCTTGGGAACGCTCCATCCTTCAAGAAATTATGATTTGGAAGGTATTCAAGTAATTTTATAAGCGTACCTAACCAATCATCGTGCAGGTTTTTTCTCCCAGTGGACCAGATTTGATTCCACATTACAATGCAGTACACAAACCGTGCTGCTTCAGTTTTAATCAGTTTATATAGTAGCTACACCCACAGCATGAAATAACACCTTTCTGTCACTATTTACAAACTGCCTAGTCTTCAATGGAGTCTAAACTTTGTTAGAGCATCTATTTTATTTGTGTTTTTAAGAATAATCTTTGGTCACATTTTATAACTTCAGTTCTTCTCTGGAATTCCTATTATTTCTTCCTTTATGTGGACTCCAGATACTTAGTTTAGAAAAAAAAAGTAAACCTAATTTTTTTTCCCCCGCAATGAATACCAGATCTTACAACCTCTGCATTTCTATGGCCCAATCCCTGCAGAATCTGTATATGTCAGTCACTGATCAGTGTGTCCCTAAAATATCTCATAAAACACAAACAATCTTTAAGTAAAAATACAACAAAAAGGTAGCTTGCTTAAGGTAACAAGTAACAAAATCAAGAACTGAACTATAGTTCTTTAACCTCCTTTCAATCCCTGTTTCCTCCCTTACCATGTACAATTTTACTCCAAAACCTATTTCACCATACCATACAGGGTGCTTAAATTTTTGAGGTTATCTCTTGATATGTAGCTGAAGGGGAAGCAGGCAAAACAAGGTTTTCAGCCTCAGGGTAGATATCAAAAGCTGGCCCTGGACTTCCTGTTGCCTTTTTAAAAGGGTACCAAATCTACATTACAGAAATATGATTCAGTAACCTTATTGAAGTTGTGAACACCTGCTCTCATGAAATAACTCCAGAGACCACTATATTGTGGCAAACAGGAAGAAAACAAAGGTAGCACAGAATGGTTTCCACGCTAGTAATCGTATTCCTTACGTTACATTTGAAGCACTAGGAATTTGCTACTGCAGGAATTGTGGCACATCTTCGGGTTTCCTTATGTTAAAGGACAGGCTTGAGAACATTTGTTGTTTTAACTATTAAAATTACATGAAGACATGATGCCTCTGTTTGTGTTCGGTTATCCCTGATCTTTTCAGGATTACTAAAACAATTTGCCAGGAGACTGAGGACATTGTTTATAGAAACAAGACATTTCCTCTAATTGTCTCCCTCTGGCATTGCTTTTCATCATCCTGTTTGTCTTCCCTTCTGCAGCTGCATGTTTGTCTGACAGCTTTTCTCGACAGCAACTTGCATTAGGAAAAAACACATTTTAATATTAAGGCCAAGTTATACCTTCCATGTAACTGTTATTCCATTACAGTTGGAGACGTACCTATGAACGAATATTTTAGCCTGGTGCCAGTCTTTAACCCTCAAGGCCATTGAAATGGGACTGCTTTGGAACCACCGTTTATTGATAACTAAGAGCAAACACCAGATTCAGGCACAAAGGAATCTTCGTACCCCCATTCCTAAATTCCTCTCTGATGTCTTTCATCTCAAGTCCACTAAATATTACAAAGCTTATTCCCCATACTGAATCCTGTAATAAAATGATCCCCTTCTGCTTAATGTTTTACTCAAATTAGCATTCTTCATTGTGTACAGCTGTTGCTTGAAGTCACACAGGATACTGCTTTCTTGATTAAATTTGTCTCTTTTGGTTCCTATTTAATCCAGTGGTTGATGTATACGCACTTAAAATGTAGTATAATGCAATCTGAACTGTGAACTTAACAGCAAAACATCAATTCAACAGCTAGATATGAAATCTGTACAGTTTCAAGTATGAACTTCACAGTAGCAACCATTTTCTCAGCAGACCTAGCTTAATTAATTACATTGATTTTAATAGGACTACCAAAATGCATCAGTTAACATGTTTGCAGTAGGGTTGCACAACACTGCAGATTAGATTTAGCAGTATGTTTCCCTCTGATTAGCATGTTATCTCTCCACAGTTACTGCACATGGAGTTAGCTAAAGAGTTAAAGCGTTTTCTCCTGAAATCCTGTCATTTTTTCCTCTTCCTGGTTGGAATCCAGATAGCTTTACTTCCCCAGGTCGTGAAAAAAACACTACCCCAGCTCCACAGTCTGGTTTAGAAAGCAAAAACAGAAAACATGAAAAGAAAAATATACTTGCATCCATCTGGAAGGAAATGCTGTCGCCTCGTAGTCTGCAGGAAAATGCTGAGTCAAAACATCCAGCTGTTACTGTACTTAAACACTATTCTTAGCTATTTACCTAGCTCACTAAATAATAGCTAAGCTTACTTACAATTATCAAACGTTAATAATAGATGTTATTGTGCTTATTATTCATCAGCACAAACCACAACATAGCATACACCTGAAACGCTTCCTTCTAAGCGTAACAAGTACTGAGAGCCACTGTGACTCGCTGAGAACGCTTTTGGCCACAGACCAAAAACTCATCAAGTTCAAACAGATAAGACGATTCAAGGTTATGTCCAAATTTAGGCAGACAAAGGGGTCCCAATAGGATTCCCAGTTTCGTTCTAGGTATGGAGTAGTTCTTAGGCCTCTATGTATTAGGGGAAGAGAAACCTTCTCAAGTAGCTTCATCAGCTAGAATAAAAATTGATAATTAACACTTACCAATTAGAAGATTAATCATTTCCTTCCTTTACCCTCTGGATCACCAAGACTGTTTTCTGCCCCAGATGGATAACAGTCTCCCCTAGCTAGATTTTTGAATCATACATACCACAAAAAGCTTTACTTTTGAGTGACTCAAAACTGAAAACATTCAGAAAGTTTCCATTCACAAACTCCAGTTTAGGGACTTAACTTTCCCTAGGTTTTTTTGTTTGTAACTCTGAAAGTTATCTGGTGAAGCAGAAATCCTTGTATCTTGTCTTAGGTACCAGGATTAAGAAACCAGCTGGTGAAAGAGTTCTCTAAAATATTTGATAAAGCCCTAAGAATTTGTCACAGTATTTTGATAAGAAAGCAAAAATATCAAATTATTTTACAAATAAAAAACAATTAGGATGAAAATGAAATGAGGTAAGAGTTGCCTAAATTCAGTTTGAGTGACATTTAAACTCTCACAGAAGCCCTACCAGAAGTCTTGCAATCGCTTGTGACCCTTAACAGACTAAAACCTCACCTTTTATAGCATTGTGGATGTTTTGAAGGAAAATAGGTACTTCCTTTTATGGGGTAATCAGGTGATTTGATTTTTTTGTTAAAAGATAACTTTACCAGCTGCTTGAAGTTTTCAGATAGAAATACGAGTTTGTTCTTAAGAAAACATTTGGAACCTTCTTATAGGTACTGAGGAAATATTTACAGTATGCTCCTTTGATTAGAGATTATTTATTTTGTTGTTCAAATGAATTTTGTATCACTTTTCCTTCAAAAAAGTCTTTTAGATTCCATATCAGGCATTCAAAAAGCACACTAATAAGTTTTTTCTCTAAATGAGATTTCTCATTTAGGTTGTCAGAATTTTTCTGCTGTTTTTAAAATGGAGAAAACTGTAGCAGTATATCTGAAACTGTTTATTGTGTTTACTGTCTGTGGCTCCTTAACTTTAAAAAAGAGAGCAGAGGAACAGCAGTAAGGAACATCTAGGTCTGCTTCAACTTCTTATCCCTTCTAATGTTTTACATAAA